AGATGATTGTATAATTTGTTTAATACTTGCATTGTTTCTATAGCGCAATTGTAGCAATCTTTAAGTTTACTTTTCATTACAAATATTTGTCAAGTTTTGTTTCAGAAACATTTTCCCTACTCTCTTGCACATGCACCCAGACACACTACAAAAACTCACTCATTACACAGTAAGGGCAAACATTATTCATGTAAACATCTTTCATTAATTTCCCATAGTTAAAAAAAATCATAGTTATTGAATAAGGCTCATAGATTTAGTTCAAATCCCATAAAAGCCCAGCGAAGGACGCTTATTAACTTGATGGGGTTAACTTCTTGTTGCAACCAATGCTGAAAGCTGACCCCTGGCTTTCGATCCTTACAAATACCCCACAACCTGATCAATGGTTTTCAGGAGAACAGGAGAACATAGAAAAAACTTGAGCAGGGAGCTCAGAACCATGGGTGTAACTTTCTCAGATGGTAAGCAGACATGGCCTCACCCTTGTCGTTTCCCAACATCCAACAGACATTCATGATCGTAACCCAAAGTGAAACCGAGCAGATCCGTTGGGACACACTGGCCCGTGTGTGCATATTGCTAGTATACACATAGGTGAAAGTCTGTCAGAGAGCTGATCACTTCATTATAGCCAGGACCAAACAAAGAAAAGTAAAAGAGAGAGAACTCCAGCCCATGCTGAGTCTGGTTACGAAGGGCTCAGTACCGTGGAAGTCAGGCCAGTTGGGAGTATGTCCCGGGGATGTGAGTGGTCTAGGTCGTACAAGGAGTTTGGGTGATTGTGTAAATTCACAGACCAAGGAAGCAAGGGTTCTCGTGTTCCGCTTCCTGTCTCTCTCTGGTTGGAAGTTTGGTGCGAGGTGCATAGTCTTCCAGAGTGAGACTGGAAGTGGGCTGTGCTGAGATGGGCCCCTTGCCCCTGGCTCCTGCCTCCTTCCTCTCTGCGAGGTGGAGGCCTGGAGGCAGGGGGTGCTGACGGAACCGTGACGTCCCACCCCGGGGTCTGGCCTCAACCCCACCGAGGGAGGTCTCCCTGACATGTGTGATCCGGCAGTAAGGGTGGCTGTGTGTGGCAGCTCGGAAACCCAGTTCCAAGGTCCACACGGCCAAGCCTGGCTTCTGATTCTGCTGCCCTGTCCACCCCACCCCCCCACCCCCCAAAAAATTGTGCTCCGGATAACTGCACCGGTGTCTCGGATGCCTGATTCATTCTCGGGGCCCTCCGGAGCCCACGGCCCACAGTGATATCACGGAAAGTGAGCGCATCTCCTTTAGCACCTAACTCACCACCTGGTAGCGGCTGAGGCACTGGGAACGCCTACAAGCTCTTTCCCATCAGATGCAACCGCCCAAGGGGAGTTGCCCCGAGTCAGAGTTGTTTGTAGGCTTTTTGATTTCTAAAAATCAAAATTGATCTGCACTATATCTCAACAGACTCATAATTCTCACCAAAAATTTGTTGGTAATTTGTTTAAATAGCACTGGAATAATTCAACTTCATTTAAATATATTCACTCTGCCATGAAAATATCTCATACAAACGTCTATTTACATACAAGCACATTAAAATGTGTGAGAAGGGTGTCCACCCCTGTGGTTGTATGGCTTGAAATCGCTTCATTGCTTTGAATACGTACACACACATCTGGCAAAGTAAAACCATGAAAATTTAGTATCTTTAAAGTTAAAAGAAAAAGAAGACACTGAAGTTCCAAATTCCTAAAGGGAAATTTCAAAGAAAAAAAAAAAGAACAATCTATCAAGTTACCTTGAGGAGGGGTAATTTTGGGAACCTTTGATCTGTGGCAAAAAAAGAGAAAACAGTACAACTGTCAGTCTTGTGACGCAGCTTTGCTTGTTTTTCTAAAACAACAACTGCAAAAGCACTCTTTTTAAAGGTGTTTGGGTTCAAAATCACTTCTCTATGACAGAAACCTTAGGCAAATATTTTAAAACACAGCAAACCAGAATTAGACCTCTACCTTCTGGGAAGATTTTTTTCAATGCATTTTGCCACGCGGGATTGTAAATTCCATAGGCTAAACCAACAGAAGTGACTAACGTCCACCAACCGTCTCACCGAGGAGACAGCCCCTTGTTTCCCTGCCCATGAAAGCTGGCCGATGGTTACACCTGGCCTCCGGGTTGCCCTTTCAGGTGGTTGGTTAAAGCAACTCTTCTTGCAGTATGATGACCCTCCAGGGGACACACAGGTTCACAACAGCCTCGGAGAGATGCCAAGAGAGCTAGGAAAAAAGCAGTTCCCTCTTTTTAAAATTTTGTCTCAGCTAGGCCCTGGTTGAAGCTGGTTACAGGAGAAGAATAGGTCCTATAAAACCCCAGCCTCCGTCATCCATTGGCTCTTCATGTCATGACTTTGCGTCAGAAATGCAGACGGTACAGTTGTTTTTGTGAGCCCGTTTGAGCTGTCCACTTGGGGGACAGGGTCCTAGAGCTGAGCCCCTATTCCTAACGCTAACACAAGGTAGTATTCCGGCCGGGGGTCTAGGCATGCGGGAGGTGGGCACGCACACTGCGGCTGCTGGTGGAGAGGGCCACCCTCCGAGTTTCTCTCTCACCATGGAAACCCCCACCAGACTGAGCCGCTGTCCTGACGTGTCTCCTTCCACGGTGCATTGAAAGATTCGGTAGAAAAACACATTCCGGGCATCCCCCCTCGTACTTTGGCTTCAACAAGGGCTAACCCCCGCTGTTGTTTACTTCCTAATGGAACCTGACTGGACTTGACCTCCAGTACCCCAAACCCAAACCCACACCGGCTGCCCTGCTGTGGGGTCGGCTCTGCTCGAGAGCCAGGGTAGGGCTGTGCTCGGAGGGGTTTCAGTGGAGGACTTCTCAGGAGCAGACCGCCAGGCCTTTCCTCAGAGCAGATGCTAGGTAGACCTGAACCCCTTACCTTTCACTTAGCAGCTGGGTGCGTTAACCCTTTGCCCCCCACAGGGCCTCCTACCTACATAAAGAACCCTGACTATCAAGACCCCTCCCATTCCACCCTGCCACAAAACCCTGCACTTGCGAATGTGTATAATGGGGGTGGGGGGTGGGTGGGAAGGGGCTGGGGGCTGGAGGAAGACAGCAGACTTCAGAGAAGCAGAGAAAATGGAGAGGGGAAGTGACTC